TTTACTCATTTTTATATTATACTTTTATGGATTAAAAATCATACCAAATTATAATCCTTGTGGTATAGATTAATTTGCTATAAATATCTCATTTTTGAATCTGAGGGTCGAAACCCACTTTTTCCTAGAACAGCCCCCATATTCTATCAACTAATAGAGCTATTTTTTTTAAGAGGTATGACAGAAAGTGACTTCTACACTTTTAAAATTTGCCCAAAATTTAGGAGGTCTTTAGACTGAGCCAACTATATATGTTACTAAAAATAGTAAAGATTGTCTATCAAAAAATCATGTGTTCCAACTTATTGAGAGTAATTTATTATACCTGACTGGTGAAGTCATCTGACTTACAGCTTAATAAGGTTTATGTATGTTGTCTGACTTATCAAGAGGTTTTTAATTATTGAAAAAAAGGGCTGAAAAATTTTGTCTGAGTTAAGCCAAATCCGACTTATTGAGTGTCCAACTTATTGAGTTTACCTATGCATTATGTTCATTTTGTAGGTTTTTTTTTTTTACTATTATTTCTTAACTTATCCTGATGTTAACAGAAATAATTAAATACAGGAGTTTTTGTAGTTCTGGCATCCTTATGTATAAAATGAAAATCAGGAAATTCCAACTGATATCAATAAGCATTGAACAAGGAATAGTAACTGGATTAGGAATAAATTATATATATAAGTTATATACTCAATGATCATTTCTGGTTATTTTTTCCATTTTATTCTTTTTTTTTAAATGGTAATTAAATTTAGATCCAATTTTGTAAATGAAGTTAAAATTGACTCTGACCTCTAATAAAATTAATTTAAAAAATATTAATTATAATTATCTTTTCAGAAAAGTATATAAACTATTAAATTCCAATTATTAAATATCAAGCAATGAGAATATTATGAATATAAAGTAATGAATAAATGTGCGAAATATGATTAAAAAGAAATTATTATTACAGATAGAGTTTCTTATAAAAATGCAAAGCAAGGATGACACCAACAAAAACAGAGCATTATTCAAGGTTAAATGGATAAAAGCTTAATTTAGGTCTCTTTGCAGATGGAAATTGATCCATAGCATTCTTGATTCTTGGATGTTTGTTGAACAGATCCTCTTCACTCTTATAAGGCCTCTTTGAAACAATATTGGTTGTAGTAAGGTCACCAGCACCAGGGATATTATTTTTAATCATATCCCAACCAGAGAAGTTAGGATTAATGTCATTAGTAATAGAAAGCATGGCACGTGTTGAAAAGACTGGACCAAAATATGCTGCAAAGTTTTCTTTTGAAATAAGTAAAAAATCTTCATCAAGATCTGCAACATCACCATCAAATGGTTGTGTAGTAAAAAGAATTGTTACAATATGATAGTCAGCAAAAAGTCCATCTGAATTATAAAGACTCTCAAGATTTTTGTTTATTTCCTTATGGAAATCTTTAATTGTACATTGTTGTGCATTAATTGATAGTTTGTTTTGAAATGCTTCTAAGAGATGTTTGTTGCAGCCAAGGATGTCTCTAACAACAAATGAATCTGCAAATTTTGCTGATGTGCCATTTATAATCAAATGATTTCCTTTCATCCAATCAATGTGTTTATGATTTTTGTCCACCAAGTTTTCACATGGAAATTGACCATGGGCTTGTATTACAGAAAGTTCCTTCAGCTTTACAACAATTCCTAAAGTTTTCTGTGTTCCATATGCATCATTATGTAAATCCCTCAAAGTTATTGTGTGGTAATTACATCAGGAAATTAATTTAGCGTAAACTTGCATAAATCTTACAATGCCGACGTAATATTGTGTAAATCTTACAGTGCCGACATAAGTTTTACACTTTTTTATTATTAAACTTACAATTGACACGTGTAAAATTTTTTTATATTTTCCGGATGTACGTTGTGTAAGCAAATTGGTGCGAAATGTTATATAGTATGCTACAAACTTCTCCCACTCATTCCAACTAATGTTCAGATTCATGCTAATTAATGTCTTTTCTAGTATTGTTGGCTCCATATTTTTAAAACATCATTATAAAGACAGAGAAAAAATATTGGCATTTTGATATAAAAAGTCACAATGTCATGAGGGTTGCTGCTGAGAATAACATGTGAATCACATTCTAGATTTTCAACAGTAGAAGATGGATCATTTGGGACTAGTGATTTGTGTCTGCTGACAGCAATTCCATCAATGCAATGATACAGAAGCTCTTGGGCTAAATTCATATTGATTATCAAAACTTGTAAAAAAATCATACATGTTGTTATTGAGTTCTTTGAAACATATTTCTAAAAGATACTGTAATGCATGAGGCAATCCTCCTGTGTCCTCCAAATGATAAAGAAATGGTCTACATAGCTTCCATTTATATTCACCACATTCAAATTTTTCTGCATTACATGACTCTGCAAATTGATCTACAATCTTAATCATAGATGTCATTGATAACAATGGACATTCAACAAAATGAAATGAAACTCTAGATGGCTCCTTAGCTGAAATGACAACTTGTGGAGCTGTTCCTGAAATGAATGTTTGAACAAATGCTTCTAGTCTATTCATCATAAATGTTGCAAGTTCATTGAACATATCTTTAAAGAAATCTTTATTAAAAGTTGACATATATTTTTTCTCCCATTTATCAATCAATTGAAATTCATCAATATGAAGAAAAACAAAAAGTTCCTGATTCTCTTTCAATTCTAAATGTTCAGCAATGCTCTGAAACACAGCACCAATGTTGAAGTATTTGATGTATGGCATGATCTTTGACCAAAATTCAATAAATGACATTTTATATTTTTCATGAAGAATATATAAGCAATTCGTATGCCAATAATCACTGATGAAGAAAGTCCATAGTCAGTATTATCAAGTGGACATCCATTCCCAAAATCTAAGCAAATATATTGAAAATGAGGTTGAATATTTTTTGTTGACAAAGTAGGTGGAGTCCAGTTATCTTTGAGTTGAAAAAAAAGTTCTTGGCCAAATCGTGTTTTACCTAAAATGCAAGATGTAGAGAAACAAAAACTTGAATATAAAAATTGTATTTCCTATGAGTGTTAAAGAAGTTAGAGATAATATATTACCTATTCCTGGAGCTCCTCCACTGACAAGGATATCAAAATCTGTTTTTTGTTTTTTACCCAAAATGTTCTTTTCTAAATTTTTTTTAAATATTTTAATTGCAATAATGACATCTCAAAATCATATTCTAAAGTGGAAGCATGACCAACATTTTCTAAAACAATCTTGTCTATAACATCTTTAACTGAAAATTAAAGGAAATAAACATTAGAGATTAGGAATGCGAATGCATGCAGACACAATATTTCATGAATTATATACTTGTTTTAAATGCATCTTTATCTGTTGTGGAAATAAAAGTAGTAACAGAACAAATTAGTTAAAGCTGAAACAATATACAAATAAATAAGTAAAACGAAGTGGACAAAAAATAATTTTTTTTTACACAATTTGTTCATTACCTTTTCCTTCAAATTCTGCAAGTTTATTTAAATTTATGAGCAGCTCCTCCAAATCATCTACCTTCTTTTCCAACCTCTTCTCTTTTTCCTCCAGTTTCTTCAGCTGATTCTCCTCACTTTGACTAAGTTCATTTCTTCTTTCCTTTCCCTTCAACTCCTTCAACCACATTCCGTCCTCCCATTCCTCCCACTTCTTCAACTCCTCCAGTGCCTTTTCCATGCTCTTTCTCTGCCATTTTTGATTTCTCTCTAATTTCTTCAATCATTGCCATTTTCTTGAGATTAAAAAAAAATTTTTTTTTTATTGATTAAGATCATAATTGTTGCAAAAATAATAAATAAATTGTAATTAAAAAAATAGACGTGCACACGCTCTGTGTAACGTGTCAACCGCCGATTGAATTTTCAACACTGGTTGCACGTGATATATTACGCACATGACTAAGTTTTCGAATTTTGATTGGTTGTTAGTTTTTGTTACACGGGACGA